GCGCTGGGAGACCCCTCGGTCTCCGTCCTCATCAGTCCATCCCTCATGGTTCATCAAACACTGTAGTCGCCGTCTACCGGGAATATTGCGTTGCCCCCACTCTACAGCTGGGAAAGGCAGCATTAGTTAAAACCGGGTTGGTCTGGGAGGCATTTAGTTCTACCCAGCTCTGCCTTTTGTTTTTCCAGGGTGCCGCTCAGGCATCTTCCTCAACCAAGCATACCCGGCGTTTTTGGATTGGATGCCCAAGACCTGTCAGCTGGAAGAGAAGTGACTTGCCTGGAGTAACAGGACGAGGAAATGAGGCTGAGTCATACACATGACTTAATCTGCCATTTTAAAAAAGCTTTTTAGGGTATGAACACTTCTGCGAGACATCTGCAGACTTGGAGACAGTATTTGGAGAGCAGTCGCCCATTTTAGCTCACCTCTGGTGGCACAGTTGGTACGGGATTGCATATCGAGGAGACATCACATCTCCTGTGAGCAGGAAGAGTTCCCGGCTGCCCCTTGTGTGGGCTTGGAATGGCAGAAGGACTGGAGCAGCATCGCAGCCTGTTTCAAGGGCCTTGTGAAAACTTCCCCACCCTCTGCCTGTGGGAGGTTAAGGGCACCTTTTCCAAGCCATTTCTTAGCTAAGTCAGGAAACCAAGCAACAAAACCCACAGCCTTGTGCCATCATCAGCACACCACAGAAGTGCTTGTAGGGTGCCCATTTGAAACATTGAGCAATTTGTGTAATTACCAAAAGTCCAATCCTGGGACTGCAAGGCTTTGTCCATACAGAGGAAGCAGCTGGCACAGCTTTTGAAAACCACATTATTCTGCAAGAGCTATTCCAGAAGAGCACTTAGGCAGACATCCCTTTAAAGGTGAATTCCTTCACAAAGTATGCTTTTATTCCAGAACAGAATGAAGAGAGTGACCCTTCTGGTGCTGTTGAGCAGCTCTGCAGCAGAAAATACCTCACTCTGTAAACTACCTTTCCTTCGTTATCCTTTTAGTTTGTTATATGGTCTTTAGAAAGGTCAGTGAATGCACAGAATCTTAAGACCATTTCTCCCTCCAAAGGGCTACTTTGGGCAATAAATTACATTCTACAACTTCAAAACATTGTGTGATCATTAATTGCTCATTCGGCTTCCAGCTGGTGTTGTACAAAAACCCTGCAGAGCTCATCCTGTTAGATATTGTCCCAACTGAGTAGAGTCATCCCTCAGTCTTCTCCTTCCATTTTCCAGGTTCTGCCATGACCACTGCATCTCCATCCCTGAAGAACACACTGTAATGAGACACACCAGTGTGATACACATTTCCTTTCACTTGAGGTCTTGTACCTGTTTGGACAAGAACCAAGTCAAACCATTACCATACAATATTAAGTGTCCATTTGATATTTTTTTTTCTCATCCTCACAAACTTCATCCATGGTTGCATTAGGGAAATCCTGAGGGGCTTTGTTATTGGGGTTTTGTTTTCCATCTCTGGGCAGAAGTAAGATGAGCTGCAAAAGCTCTGTGCATACAATGGGTCTCAGGGTAGGAGTGGCAAAATATCAGATCAGCCAAACTTTGAAATTCAGACTGAAGTAACAGGAGAGCTCTATTGTTAAAATGGTATCACTAGAAGGAATAGAGATGGTACTGGGAGACTGAGTTATGTCTCCATCACAGTCTTGAGATCCTTAGGCTAAGCCTTGACAAAAGTATTCAATACTACAGTACTGGGAGTGATCCTGCATTAAAAAGACACATTAAAATATAGGTTTTGCTACCTCTAATTGATTTTGAGTTAATTACTACAGATATGTTAGAGGATTAGAGATCTCCCTTCTGTCTATCAAGATGCCCTGTCCAGACCATGGTTCAGCATTGCAGCTATGAAGGAAGTAATGAATTAGAGGGCTGTGCCCACTGATATTAAAGAGATGTCAGGTCAAGTCAGGAACACAACAGATTGCATGTGACTGGAAAAAAATATAGCAGTAATATCAAAACACCAACTAGAGAATTCAGGAATGGGTATTTTTCTAAATGAGAAATAAATAATCTGTATATCAACTATACAAACAAAGTAAGTGATAGCAATCCAAGCCCCACAAGATTCACTATTTTTATAGCTGATTGTGAAATTAGAAATTATTTTTATATATAATTAAGAATGACATGATAAAATAAAAAATAAAAAAATAAAGCAAACTGAAAAAAAATGGCCACTTGCAATCTTTCCAAAACCTAAACTGAGTTAGAGGATTTATGGAGATATGCATCAGTATATCACATGTGATCTATCAAAAAGACAAAGGAGATAAGAAAAACTGACAAATTTGAGAATGCACATGTAATTTTTTATTTAAGATAAAAAACCAAACTAGTTATAGAGAACAACAGGACTGAAAGAGACATCAAGAGATTATCTATCTCAAAGCAGAGTCTAATGTTCTTTTGCTGGGGAGTCTGTAGATTTTCTTTTATCTTTTGAGAAAGAACTAGACAATTTCAGTGCTTGCCTATCTTTGCCGCTACCCTTGTTGTCTACCCTTTACTATGCCATGTAATTTTATCTGTAAAAAATATGCAGTATTTGAGCTAACTTCTATTTTCAAAAGTTTAGGTAACTGAGACTCTAATACTTACATGCTTTTTTCTACCCCAAAAGTGAAAAAAAATGCCAGCATAATCACTTCTAAAAAAATGCCCAAACATGATGGATTATGTGATTGTGTGTGCAGCTTGTTCTTACCTGCTCCAGACCTTTGCAGCTGAAACATGCAGCCCTGGAATATGGTATTGCCACTCTCAGTAATTTTCCATAAGCTTTGTTCTGAATGTGCAAGGACTGAGTTTTGTCAGGTTTGCTTTGTTTGAACTTCTCTTGACCCTTCTGTATCTTTTCATTGGTTAACTGTGACAGCAGTTTCCATAATTAACTAGGTCTATGGCTAATTTGTTTTACTTTTGTTTATCTGTGTGTGGTACAACTATCATTTTATATAAATAAAAGTAACAAACAGTTATTCTGTGTAGAAAAGGAGACTTATGACTAACACAGTGATGCAGTACAGAGAAATGCAGGCATGGAGCAATAGCAGAAGCCTCGAGAAGTGGGGGCACAAGATTTGCTGAGGAATACAGGGGTATAAAAGCAACAGGCAAGGCACAGGACTGGCCTGGTGGCTGTGAACAGCTCACCAGTGATCAATCGAAGAAAAGCTGAAATGAAGCTGGATTCAGGGGTAACAAAGAGAAAAAAAAAAAAAANAAAAAAAAAAAAAAAAGAAAAAAGGAAGAAGAAGAAAAAAGTAACATTCATAATAGGCACTACATACCATAAAATCAGATGTAGTGTGGTACTGCCTGGTGTAGATGCAGCAAAGTTGGGGCCCTGCCAGGATCACTTTGCCATGCCTTTTCCAGCCCCAGTGTTCCTGGAGCTGTAGGCTCTTTGACTCTCTCAACCCTAAACCTAACCCTAACCACTCCCCTAACCCTTTGAGCACATTTCTAACCTATGCTAATATATATTTTTTAAAATATATATTTTTAAAGCAGCATTCTCATTTTTAACACTTCTTTCTGCTTGAGCAACTGGTGCTGCAGCCTTTTACAGTTTATCAGTCTCTGCACAAAAAAAAAAAAAAATCTCTATTTTAATCGCTATTGGAAAAAAAAACGAAATGCAGTTGGTAAAATATATTACTCTGAATCATGAAATGTATACTTTGGGAAGTGAAGGTCTTTTTTTAAACTGTGAGAGCTTTCTAAACAGCTGTTGCAAATTCCAAAATAACTGCTCTTTACTAGCTCCACATACATAGATTTTTGTTCTGGAATAAGTGCACCTTGTTCTACTTCAGCTTAATATTAACTTTATGATAAACAGAAGTAGCAGACTAATTATGAAACAAGGCTGCCCACTTATGTAGCTAAGTGGAAGTAGTAATTGCAATTGCATATATCTTTGTTCATTTGAATTACCTCCAAGATCAGATAAAAGTAGGATGAAGAAAGCAATAATAAAATTTATTTGATATGAAACTGGTATCAGTCTTCAGATTTGGTGACAATGCCTCTGACAAGCTTGCATTTGAATCAAAGCTCAGTCACAGCCCTGGTTAAAGTCCATGGGTAAATATCTTCATTTTGCTAAGTAAACCAGAAGAATTGACTAAACAATCCTCTGCTCACAGATTGAATGGGAAGCCATTCCCCAAGGGAATGAAGCACATCACATGGCCAGTCCCTGGCACCAGGGGCCTGATCACTGCCTGATCATGGCCAGACTCTTACACTGCCCAAACTAATGCCAAACTAATGCAGACTGAGCCTGAGCTTAGCTTTAACCCAGCAAGGCATTATGATTTGCTTTTCTCCTATTTGTATTCCCTCTGGTGCTAATCTGAACAACAAAAAAGGAAAGATGGAATCAGGCAGCTGGGAGCTGAGGGAGAGAGGGAAAGACTGTCTTGGCACAGTGCTGGACCAGTTTTGCCATTTGGTGGACTGTCACCGTTCCTGTAGACAGAGGGACTTCTCTGGGACTGAATGCAAATACAGGGGGTAGAATTTGTCTGGCAGCAGCTGCACATATTGGTGCCTAATAAAAAGTGAGAGAGAAGGAACAAGGATTTGATGAAGGAAGCTGGGTCAGAAATCCTGATTTAACTGCAATAACTCATGAGAAAGGGAGTTAAAACAAGAAAATGTTTCAGTGCTGCAGAACATAGGCCTCTGTGTGTGTATTCTTCACAAAGAGGTTCTGACTTCAAATGCAAGCAAAGTTGGAAGTACTGCAAATACTGTCTTAACTGTTGTGGCCAAAATACTCAATGCTTCTTTAACTTATTCACACACTAGCACTGAAAATTAGTCTGAAATAGACATGAAGCAAAGCAGCTTTATGCATCAAACATAGGACAGCAGAGTTTTCAGTGTTACAGCTGAAAAAGGCATAATTAATTGAATGTCTTTTTCTCCCCTTTAATGCATTCCAGCTCAAAGAAGCTGAGTGCTTCTGTTGTCAAGTAGGGTGAATAATGGCTTTGAGTACACTGCTCTGTTTTGTACTCAGGACAACATTTTCATTAGCATGTTTCAAAAAGAAGAATGTATTTAAAGTGAAGCTGATAGAAAACTTTAAATTTCTAGGTCATGGCAGATTTCATTGGTCACATAAAAAAATTATGTATTACAGGAAAAACATTTTTAAATTCACATTTGGAAGAAATTCAGCACTAGTATTTGACACATTTCTTCATTTTTAAAAAACCACCGAATTTTGAAGAGCCTCTGCTTGAAAAACTAATAAATTTAGCAGTCTTCCCACATTCCTTATCAGTATGGAAAAACTCAAGTTTTCCAGCTTAGCCTCTCAGTTGATATCAGTTTTCCTTTTAAACCAACCATCCCGCAGAACTGAACATGCTCCTCCTTTGGCCAATTTTTTACTCTTGGCTTTGCTTGCTGCTTCCCATTGAGTGTGTATGTAAACCATAAATAAAAACTCCAATCTTGCTCCATTTGTATTCCATATGTTTGCCAAGCTCTTGGCCACAAGAGATCATAAGCAGTTTGTTTTTCAAACCTCAAAACTTGGATAGGCATTGAGTGTATCATCATATAGTTATTTTTACATTAGAATAATATTTAAAGGTCTTAGGAATTGTAATTTTATTTAAAATACTTCTTCCTTGATTTTGCTACAATAGAACCTTAATCTTCAATAATGGTCTGGCTAATAATTTTCTTCAATCTTAAACCTTTAAACTTCAGAGATTCATTAGCCTGATTATTCTTTTTTAATTCATTGTTCCCCTTTCCATGGATTATCATGGTTTCTTTACCAGCCTTACTGGAAGTGAGTTCTTTATTAAACACTTCTCTGTCCATATCTGATAAAAAAGCTGTTAATCTCTCCTTCTCATGTTTTTGCTGAATTGGTGATTATAAATGACATATCTGTGTTTCTGAAACTGTGCAGCTGCACAACTCCTACTCAATAACAACTCCCACTGGGGTTCAATATACTCCAGTACTTTCTACTGCAGTCTTTCTTCCTATTTTGTCTGTCCTGCACTGTTGTTCTTTCACTGGATTATTAAGGCAGCACTTCCTGTTTTAACAGTCAGGCAATCCAAGACAGAGGAATAGGTCAGAGTTTCTGAGACCAGAGCTTACACATGACCTCTGTCCTTTGGGCAATGAGCATCGAACAAGAAGGAAGTTATAAGATATTCAAATATTTGATTTCAAAATTGTATTCAGTGTTGAACTGCAGCCATGAGATGTTCCTAACTGACCAGCCACAGTTCCCCAGCCTCAGTTATCACATGCTGCTGATGCAGCAGAAGTAAACTGGAGATAAGAAGAGAACAACAACCATCTTTCATCTGGGCATTTGTTAGAAATTACTGAGTGGTCTTGAAGAACCTTTTCTAAAGTAAAAGCACCTACAGATCAGCCCAGGATTCTGAATTGTCTGGGTGAAGGTTATTCCTGGATATCACTTCAGGAGGAATTCAAGTATCTTTGAAAGGCTAGGGGATCTGCTTCCAAAGAAAGGAGTAATATCTTTTCACCCATTCTTCTCAGGAAGACAAAAGGGTTTAAGTGGTAATGGGTATGGACCTTACTGGCTTAGGGGCAGAATCTGCGAGAAAAACTGAAAAAAAGCAACACTAAAATGTGCAAAGCAATCCCACTTCCACACTGCCTACACTGCCTTTACATGAGCAACTGCCCTTAAGAATCTTTTTTTTTTTTTTTTTTTTTTTTTTTTTTTTTAATATTTTTTTTTTTTTTTTTTTTTTTTTTTTTTTTTTTAATTACAGGGTGTATATAGGTGCCAACAAATCAGCTATGTCAGCAGGCCTCTCTAGGACAAGGTGCTATTTTTAGTCCTCTAGCTTCAAACATATGTTGAGACAGTTTCCAAATGCTTTCCTTCTTATCCTTTCAAGCTTTGCATTATATACCTGGAAAAGTCACAGGCTTGTATTTTACTTGTTTGGACTTAGAAGATTTGCTTGTTTGATGAGGATGGTACTTGCTAGAAGCTTGTCCATGTCTCAGTTCCTTCAAGAGAAATGAAGGCCAGAAAGAATTTCAGTAATTTACCATATTGTTAGGATTAATGCCTTATTTCTCATGCATTCTCTTTAAAAAATCTGGCCCAACCCCAAGTGAAACACAGCTATGTCTCGGGTAAAATACAGCAGCACTAGTGCTAGCAGCACCATGCTGCAGTCATGGGAAAAGGAATAAAAGCATTCTCTTCTGTTGAAATGGCAGGAGAAATTTCAGGGTCATAGAAGGCAACTGTAGTCTTGCAAAATAGCCAGGACACCAGGGAATGTCCTTATTTAGTAAAAGGCAACTGATGGAATTAGTCCACAAAGCTCACATCCGAGTCAGCTGTCTCCAACAGAAATGAGTTTGGAATGTTTTTTCCTTCAAGATTTATTGACTCCATAAACTTCTTTCACAAAATTAACGCATCACAACACACTTGTGTGTTTCAGTCTGTCAGCCTGGATAGAAATTTAGACTAACATCAAATAGTTACTGTATTTTTCTACGACAGTTTTATAAGCAAACTAATTTCTCCCCAATTCCACTCCCTGCATAATTTCATAGTGAAATATGTTTCCCACTTGCCACTCCACGGTGACAAAGCAGCACAAGTTAAAGGGCTTTTTCTAACATGCTGTGATGGCAATGTCCTGCCTGTGGCAAGAGGAATGTGGCTAGCATGGCAGTATCACTGGGATGATACTTAAACATAAGCAAGGATAGGGATTCAAAAAAATAAAAAGTGACCTGGATTCCATCAGCATTGCTCTCATAGTGACTATTTAAAGAGAAAAAATAAACCAAGCTCAATTCAGCTTGGTCAAGAGAAGCCAAAGATTTTGCTTCCACTTGTTGACAGACATGTGGCAACACAAACTTTCATTACAAAAATATGTAGAAGTCAGCAAGTTAAAAACTGAGTAAATTGTGTGTTATGCTGAGAGAAGAAATTGGCAGCATGAGTAAATAGAAAAGAAAATGTTTATATCTAATTTCAGATTTTAAGGAGAATAGCTTGCTCTCCTGCCAGCTTGTTTTCAAGGGCTCTGGATTTTAACAGAGCAGACAGACTTGTGAGTGATCACCTCTTACTTCTGACCCCACCTCTCCTCCCTGCTTCAATGTACAATACAGGAGAATTCACAAAGTGTGTAGCAATGTAGGTATTGTTCTTAACTTCTATTTAAGAGCAATATAATTCAGTTTCATTCCTAAGCATTTGTAGTGAAACACATGTCTGACTCTATGAACACCAGCTTTGAATATCCTCACAGGCTTCTGTATCCGGTTCAGTGTTCCCAGCCTCTGACTCAATGCAGCCTGTGTGCATTTACCACTACCATTCCTTCCACTGTTTATACTTTCTTCCATGCTGCTTTGCCCAAATATCCTTCCCTTGCTTTTTTTCCTTCTCCCTTACTCTCTTTGCTCCCAGTGCTTAGAGCTTTTCCATTTTTTGTGTGATAAATAAGCATTTTTCCTTTTTCCTAAAACACTAACTAAAAACATGTCAAAAATTCCCATGGTTTTCTGTTAGACATTTCAAAGTAATTTGCTACTCTCTACCCAGCTACAGTAGTCATGCTGTTGCATTATGCTACATCATCCAGATTATTCAGGTCTCAAGATACCAAACAAGGAATTAAATCAGGGCCTCATAATTAAGCAGTAAAATTTTAGTGGTGGGCACCTGCAGTTCCCATTGACTGCAAAATAAGTGCTTATTATGGAGCATTTTGGAAAGTGTCACTACTTACCTAGGTGACTAAGTATCAAATTAGGACTAATATCAAATAGGACTAAATATCAAATTTATTTTGAATATTGCAATCCCCATTTTTTACTGGTAGATTATCCTTTTTTTGCAGCCCACTGTGCACTGGCTCACCTGTCCCGATTTTGATTACAAGCTTTCCCGTGTTTTACACCAGGCTTGACATGCTTAACATGATCCCTGGCAACAAATTATCACTACCAGTTGTTTAATCTTGGAACTGAAGTAGCACATTACTTCAACTGTAAATGAATGAATGAATTGTGAGAACAGCCTGCCTGCTGACCCATGAAAACAATTTCCCTTTCTTTCAGAGCGACAAGATTTAAACCTTCAGATACTCAGATTTTCATTTGCTTTTATTTCCGAAATGAATCAAATTACACAGATGTATGAGCTGGGAACCAGTTTCTAAATATGCCATGCCTTCCCTCCCATTAAAAAGATGAGATTCTTTACAATATTTAAGCACTTGGTGCATAATTCAAAGTTAAGTATAATTTTCCCTGTACCACAGTCTTCCCTTATTTCTTTTCTAAAGGAAATATCTGCTGTATCTTGGATCTTGGCCAGTGAGTACAAAATAGGCAGTGAGTGTTGCTTGGGGAATGATGACCTGCAACAAATAAGAATCCCTGAACAGCAAAGGAAGTGGAAAAGGTGCTTGTGGTCATGTGTTTGAAATTAGGGTGATAGAACCTCTGCCAAGGACTTAAAGAAAATCTTTCTGAATGGTTACGGAACAACTCCTGTTTTATGTAATCTGACAAACTGATGAACAAAATAACCCCAAAAATCCAACAAACCCAAACTGACAACCTTTTCAGTTACAGTAACAAGATGAAGAGTGTTAAGAAACACATTCAGTGCTAGTAGCTTGGTGTGCAGCTGCAGTGTCAACCACAGGTTGGGCTCTGGCAAGCCCCAGAGAGGCCAGAGAGCCCCAGGGAAGAGGCCAGGAACTGCCGCTGACCCTGGTGGGCACAGGACCTGTGGCACAGCCGGGTGACCGGACACTGAGACACAGCAGGAGCCAAGGACTCAGCAGGAAGAGCCAGGACTTTGTCACACAGAGACTGGGAGGAGGTAAAAACTCAGAGCTTTCTTTGGGGTCCCTTCTTGGAGGCACCTAGCTTGAGCCATGGTTAAATTATTTTAAGGATCCAAATGTCTGAGACTCTACTAAGGGAAATCTCAGCTTGAGCCAGTAAGGAAACCTGGTCTGACTGTGGGAGTGGGGAGGGTGTAGGGAGTCAAGTGAGGCACCTGCTGGGTCACTGGAACTGCCCACTGAGAAAGAGCTTCAGTCCCAGGGTGACTGACAGAGTGGCTTCTGGATGGTCAGACAAGGAAAATTTCATTAAGAGTAATGAATACTTTAAATGAAAGCCTGAGCTTCTGTGACACATCCACTTGCAGGCCGCACATATTTGTGAATATATTTTTGTCCTGCATTCCTACCAGTCTTACCAGTCTTCTCTGAACTGCTTCTCATCTTGAAGGAATCTGGGGAAGGAAGGCAGAATGAAAAACACAGTTCCTAAGTTTAGAATCCAATACTTAGTTTATGTTTTATTTTCAGTTTCAGAGAGAGAGTGCCCTCCATTATGGCTTATTTGGTTTGGGTATTTAATGCAAATTCAAAATTTATACTTTCAGAGTTCGCTTTCCCTTGTGAACCAATGAGCTTTAGTGCTGGTGAACGCACTTGACACTGTGCAGCTACTTGTATGACAGTTGTTGACCTACCAAGATCATCTTCTGCCTGGTCCTAATATGTCTCATATTTGCATCCCTTTATACCCCAGGGAACAACACAGAACAAGAAACCAAAATGAACCGGATCTCCCATTTATTGCTGTAAATACTCCTGTACCTTGCTTTCACAGGTCTCATAGAAGTGGGTTCTAAATTTGCATCCTGGACTAGTGCAGACCATTGGTGAGCTGTCATCTGCATTCCTCAAATGCCTGAAAAGCCATGTCATCTGCATATGAGCTGGCAGCAGATATCCAAAAGGACTTTCTGGGCCACACAGTCCATTGTCATGTTATTGGAGACTCCACATAATCTAAAGACCATATTACTTCCAATTTTTGCATTTGGTAAGAGGCCATCCACAGGTATACCTTTCTAACATAAAGAATTAGTGTAGAGTAACCTATAGATCAAGGCATCCTGCGGGGGTAAAAAGACCACCCAGGTTAGATATAAAATTCTTATTTTGATTAGCAGGGTCTAGGGAAAATGCTTACCTCAGTGTTCTCATGACTCTCTTTGGTGACGGCAGTTTGTTAATCTTGAATTTTTCTGGTTCCTACTGGGAATAGTCCCAGTTAGTGGAGCTTCTTGCAGTGTGTCTAAGTGAAAGTACAGAAGGAATGCTGAAAGAACATGGACGGGGAAAGAATACTTAGCACTTCTACCTTCATGGGCATGCTATACACACTGAGCTTCACAGAATCTCATTGTGCAGTTCATGATACACAAGTGTGCCTGTTTGTACAGGCAAAGCACAGCTGATGATTTTCTGAGGCCTGAGATGAAACCACCTTGGCAGGGAATTTAGAATCCAGGCCCTGTTTGCTCTCCCTTATAAACAACACAGCAGTGCAGTCCAAAGGCCAAACATCTTGTCTCCAGCAGCTGCCAGTGGTGAAAGGTTACAACAGCACCAAACACCAACCCACACAGAGAGATGCTTGAGACCCTTTCCTTGGTATTCCCTTTTCCAGAATCTGGTCATCAGGAACATACAGACTGGAGGCTTAAGTTTCAGCATTTCCTGGAAAGGACATCTTAAGCGAGCCATGGAAACAGATGACTATGAAAGTAAGAGACAAGGAAAATAATGAAATTTTTTTTCATTCATGAAAATGTGGCAAATGTGGAAGCAAGCAAAGAGTATCCAGGTAATAGGAACAGAGTGAAATAAAGCTTAACACGAGCTTTCATTGCTATGTGGGCTGGACATACTCTCTGAACCTTTGGTCTTCCAGTCACCAAGGTCAGCCTCGTGGCAAAGTCTGTCAGGAAGCAATGGATTCTCTCCAGAGCATGTGAGTGGCTCAACTGCCTGTGTATTTGTGTAAATTCTTTCAAGTGAACAGTGTGGCCAGAATGGTGAGCAATGATTGGAAAACCTTCTTAGAGGTCTGGGAACTTTGCATATTTAATGCATGGCTTCATTTACACTTTTTCTGCTTCTTAGAGCAGAGGATACATGTTTTACATGTTAGTACATATTAGAGAGGCCAAAGAACACAAATTTAAACATGTTGTATGTATGTGTGAATCCAGGGAAGGAGGGCAGGAACTGAGTTTGAAAGACAAGGGGTAACTCAGTTTGCAACTGAGGGTAACTTACAGCTTGCAGGAGCTGCATTTCCTGACAGGAGCAAAACTGTTCTCACCTATCATCCATTCTCAAATTGCATTGCAAAGCTGTGTCTTGCACTCATCAGTACTGAAACATGACCATGGGAAACAAGCACAGAAGCCAGTATGCAAAGCTTGACTCAGCATTGAAGAGAAAAATAAATAGGGTTTAAGGAAAAAATAATGGCAACTCTACATCCTTTTTAGTCAAGATATCATGTACACAGTGTTCTTTTGAATAACAAAGTCTACATTTTAGCCAAAGGAATGACTGCAGCTTTGAAAAGCCAGTAGGGAAGAAGTACATGATTTGGCAAAAGAATAAGGATAAAAACATTTCTCCTTCCTCCTTTATTTAAAGGTCTGGTTAGCAAAATAGCACGATCAGAAAGAGTGTTAGTGCAGCTATTTAGAACTTTTAGGACACTATAAAAGCCAGCTGTGAAAAGTGAAAGAGAATTAAGAACTTGTGAATAATTAAGTAACGAAAAGAGAGAAGGCAAAGGCAAAGTAGGCTAAGGAATATTTGTTGGCTGATAGAGGGCACACATGAGGGATGAGAAATATAACCTGTGCTTTACTGCATTTTATTATTTTTTTAGGTTACTAAGATCCATCCAGAAGACAAACATGAACTGCCCTGGTTATCACTCAGCTATTCAATGAAGGGTGTGACAGACACTCCATTATCTCCAAAAGTCATGGCATCCATGATAGTTGGATATTAGGATATTTGCAATAATTAATAGCTGCTTGCACAGTACTCTGAAAATCTCAGTTTATAGGATAAGCATTAATTTCAGATTACTTTCGTGCGGATGGGTTTCTCCAGTTCACTCTCCTTGTTTTTCCTTTGCCTAGCTATAAGCACTGGAATGAGGGCCTCCTGGTGGTGGAATCTGTGACAGTGAAGCAGGGAGGAAAACACATTTCTTAACAAAGCAGTGAAACGGCTGTTCTTTTATCTCTTGAGTTAGCTATAATGAAATAAAGAAGCAGAGAGAGAAAAATAAGTGTCGGCTTTGTCAAGAAAATATAGGTGAGGTATTTAATATCTAGGATTCTAAAAGAAAGGACATCTTTAACTGCACAGCACTGAAGCAACAAGAATTACCTCACTGCTGAAAAAATTTATTGGGGCAGGGAATTAATTTCAATATGCCAAAAAAGTTTTAGTTTACAGGTTTTAAACTCAGTCTCATTTAGTCGACCAGGTGTTACCGATAGGTAAGGCTTTATAAAGCCTTACCTATCCATAACAACCAGGCAATGTAGCAACTTTCAATACAAAAACTAAAATAAATACATTCTTTGATGTCAGAGTAGGCCTAGAGTAAATCTACTGAATTGGCCAGTCAATGGGGTTTCCCTGTAATTATTGATATAACCGAGAACAATAATAATCCTGCAGCATATATGAAACAAAGCAAGAGAAACACTGTGGAGTTAAAAGCAGCTCTGAGAACATCTAAGCTATAGATTCTCTATCACTTTTGAGCCAAAAAAGCTGAAGAAGATGCTCCAAATTAGGCTACCAAGAACAGCTTGGGTCTATTCCAAAATTTCCACACTGCCATGTGCTACAGCCCTATCTTCATCCTGTCAATCTTTTAGCTTTCCACCAGTGTTCTCAAAGATGTCTTCCTGGGAACATAGGCAGCTTCCTTACACAATGACTGCAACATACAGCTTCTTCACCATTTAATGGGCTTTTGCAGTTCCTAAGTGATAGTTATTGTCCTGGGAGAAAGAGTGTGTGCTAGGTGTTCTTTTCCCCACAGAGCGACAGGAACAGAAGGATGCACACTACTACACCATAATGCTCTTAACATAGCCGAAAATCGTATGTCAAACTATATATAAATATATGTATGTATGTATGTATTTGCAATATAGTGAGAGACAATGCTAGAAACAACAACAGTCAGTTCTTGTCTCGGTATCTACCTGATGTAGGTGGAGAAACAATGATGAAAAGCTGCTGCCAAAATACCCTGGGAGGTTGGTGCAGCAAGGAAATTCCATAGCATTTTTCACAGAAATGGTGTCTGGCAAGAAATGAAACCATGCAGAAGTAAGATTCCTGAAACAAATCATAGCAGAAATCAAGACACTGAGTCTCCTCCTCTTACTCTCCAGGGGAAGATTTCTGAACTCTTGTTGACAAGCCCTACCAACTATGAGACCATTCACACAGGTATTATTCACCATGGGCACAGCAACCCAGCACAGAAGGAAGCATTCACCTCACATGCCAAGGCAGTGGGGATGAGCTGCCTGGCTTTTTCCAAGTCTCTGCTCCACAGAAGAAGCAGTAAGAGAATCACTCTGAGACCCCAGATGCATGAGACAGTTTAGTTTTACAATAATTACAGTGTATTTCTACAATACTCATCCTGCTCAGCACAAGAAGTCAAACAACAACTGTGCTGAAACATACAGGCTTCTTCTAGGAAGGTGAACATTGCTGAAAAAAACACCCCAACCAAAGTGAGCACAGTCCCTCACTATCCTGTATGGTCTTTGGCTCTTATCAGCACCCAGGTGAGCTGCCTTTATTTTCTCATTTCAAAACTATAATTCTACATGCTCTCAGCTTTTCTTCCACAGTTCTTGTCCTCATTTATCTGGACCTTCCTTTCATCATTCTTATGCGATATATGCACACACATATAGGTATTAAATGGTAATAGAAGCCACAACTACTTCACAAAGATCTTGCTCTGAACAGCAAGTTTTTATTCTACTTTTAAGGGTGTTTACTCCCCCCCCCCCCCCCCCCCTAAAATCACTTTTCTTACTGCAAAAATCACTGCTTTCCAGTGCACAGACTCTGGTATACTGGGTCTGAAAGCAACTGTTTTTATAGCATATGTCCTGCAAGAACCAGAGACTGGTTAACTGGACTACCAAAAGATACAGCAGCACCAGAGATTTTTCTTGTCTCAAGTCATTGGATTTAACTGTGCTATTTTTCCAATTTCCATTCCAAGTGAGCAATTTTCTGGTTCATTTAAGGCAGGGTGCCAATTAAGTAGTCTGGGAATGAAAGTCTGTTAGATATATATTTTTTTTTCCTGGAGTACTAATGCATGTACAAACCAAATCAAAATGTTGGTGATTCTCTTATTTTCTTCTTCTTCTTTTATCTGCCTGCCCCATTTTTTTTTCTTCTTGTCTTTATTGTTCCTATTTAACTAAAGTCAGCATCTTAGTACCTCATTAATTCAAAATTTTTCAGGAAAGCTCCAGGAAGTCCTCAACACAAGCTTTTTTAACAATGAAGGAAGTAACTTCAGATTGCTATTCTAACATATTGCAGAATTATTTTATGCTTTAGGAGTGGAATTTTGCCTCTGTAACATAAAAAGTGCTGGTGATATGTGTTACATACCCATGCCATTCATTCAAAATATCCAAACCAACTGCCACTGCCACCTCCATGGAATACAAGCCAGCAAGTAACACAAGGAATCTAAATTTATCCCTCATTTGCTGAAAGGGAGGACTTTGCAATGTGCACAGAAAATCAGGATGCTTCAAAGGAAGGCATGTGAGGAGCTGCTGCTGTGGAGTCACTGCCCTTGGAGGTGTTTGAGAAAAGACTGGGCATGGCGCTTAGTGTCACGGTCACGTTCACATAGCAGTGTTTGGCCAAAGACAGGACTTGATGATCTCAGAGATCTTTTCCAACTGAAGTGATTTTGTGATTCTGTACGGTTCTGCTCTCTCCAGCTCCTCACCCATCATCCCCTGAACTCGTGCAGTCCAGGACGACAGACCTCCTCCACTTCTCCAACGTTCCCAAGCAAGGGAAGATATTTGCAATAACTAATTAATAGCTGCTTGCATAGTACGCTGAAAATCTCAATTTATCGGATAAGCATTAATTTCAGTGCGGATGGGTTCCTCCAGTTCAGGATATTCTCTGCCTAATGGCCGTTTAGTTACCTATCTGAAAAAATAAACAAACAATCCCCACCAAAAACATTGCTAACAACTCTCCCAGGCGATTCGATCATTTTCGGGAAGGTGTTAAAGAAAGCGCGGTCAGCACGGCCCCAGCTTGACGCAGCCCGCGAGCAGAGCCCGACCCCCGAGCCTATTGCCGGCACTCCGCCCCCGTCTACCTCCACCAGGGAGGCGGAGCGGAGCCGCGGATCCCGTCGCCACGGCAACGCGGCGGCCGCAAACCGCTCCCGGGACACGCGGCGGATCCCACCGGCGGCGGACCGGAGCGGGCGCGGCCCGACGGAGAGGTGCGGCCCCCCCCGGAATTAAGGCGAAGCTCGATGGAACAGCCCGGCCCAACCGCCCCCGCACCGCGGGGCTGACCCTACCACTGCGGCGCGGGGGGAATGGGGGCTGCGGGGCGTTCTTCATCGGCTCCGCTCTTGCCAGTGAGATGCCGGAGGGGAGGGGGGGGGTGGAGCAGAACAAAGGAGCATCCCGGTGGTGGTCCGTGCAGGGAATAGCGCCCCGCGGGGCTCCCCTTCCAGCTCCTCGGCGTGCCCTAGGGTGGTACGGCCCGTGCCCCCGCCGAGGTGCCGGCCGCGCGGCGCTGGGGGTGCCGGCCGGGGGCGGGAGGGCCGGGGGAAGGGGCCGGCACCTCGCACCGTCCCTCCTGTCCCCCGCCCGGCTCGGCCACGTGGCGCTGGAGGTGCGAGGGACGTGCCCGTGGAGGGCTGGTGCTGCCTGGTGCCAGTGGCAGGGGGGCGGCCAGGACCGCCCCTCACTCAAAATCTCTATCTTGGCCTGAGAGCTGGGGGGCTCTGCCTGGGGATAACGTCATTGGAGAGAATGAGGGGCTCTGCCTCGGGACAGCCTGCCTGGGGAGAACATCACTGCCCTTGGCCCACAGCCCCAGACCCGCTGTGTCTCTCTTGCTCCTTCAGGAGCCAATAGGCCTGGCCAGCAGCGTGCGATGCCCCTCTTTGGGAACTCCTTCAGCCCGAAGAAGACCCCCCCCAGGAAATGGGCCTCGCTGTCCAACCTGCACCTGGTGAGTCCCAGCACCTGCAGTTTGCTGCAGCAGCGCTGCCTTGGTGGCAGAGGTGGGTGGCTCCTGCTGTGAGTGCTATAATCCTTACAAGGGCTCCCAGCTGCTGCTGGGGCACAAAAAAGTTCTTCCCCCAGAGGTGATTTGGCTCTGGAACAGACTTCCCAGGGCAGTGGTCACAGCACCAAGCCTGATAGTTCAGGGAGTGTTTGAACAGTACTCTCAGACACATAGTGCAGCTCTTGGGACAGTTCTGTACAGGGCCAGGAGTTGGATTCAGTGATCCTTGTGGGTTCTTTCCAACTCAGTATATTCTGTTATTCCAACTGTGTTGCTTTCTTCCTGCAGTGCAGCACCATTCCTGATTACTGTGACTGTCCATGAAGCTAGAAATGGAATAGCTCAGGGAAGAATCATCATCACCCCACCTGCAGTCCAGAACTGTGTCACTGAAAACTCATCAGTGGTCTCCAAGTGCAGGGAGATGAGTGTGTAGGTGGGAGAAAGTGCAGGGATGGCAGTGAGAGGAGCCAGTGCTCTACTGCAGCAGTACATGACCAAAGTAGGGTTCCAGGCTCCAGGGCCATTTGCACCAGTATCTTCCACTAGAATGCCAGTCACTAAGAAGTGAGAGAGCAGGGGGTGGCTCTGGAATTCTGTGAAACTCTTGAGTGTGATCTTTTCCCTGCAGCTGGATAGATCCACCCGTGAGGTTGAGCTGGGCCTGGAATACGGCACCCCCACAATGAACCTTGCTGGCCAGAGCCTGAAGTTCGAAAATGGCCACTGGGTTTCAGGTAGAGTACAGCTCAGCTTGCTCTGGTCTGAAGTAGCCACAGTTGGCTGACAATCTGTATTTTGACCTCCTTCTTTCCTCCAAGAATCAGGAGGCTTCCTGGGGGATCGCAGGGAACTGCAACGCTTGCGCAAACGAAACCAGCAGCTAGAGGAAGAAAACAACCTGCTTCGGCTCAAAGTGGACATTCTGCTGGACATGGTGAGCCTTTGCCCAGCTCCTGCTTGCCCGTAGCAGTGGGGATGCCTGAGCAAAGGGTTCTGGGTCCCCTGAAAAAGGCTGTTCTCAGGGCACCCCACTTTCTGCTTTACCCTGTTGTGCAACACGGGTGTAATGGCAAAGTGACTGTGGGAGTAAAGCCTGATCCCCTCTGTGAAATGAGGGGAAGGTTCTCCCCATGTCAGAGCTTGTTGTGAACACTGTGACTGAAAGGAGAGAAGCCCCTGCAAGTGCCATGTCTCCTGTTTCCCCTTCTGCACAGAATATGGCATTTTTCTTGCCACTCTGTCCTCTGCCCCAGCTAAGAAACTGAGTTACAGCCACTGTTTTTGGTCACAGAAGACTAAAGCTTCCATCTGCTGTCATGAGGGGTGAGACATCTGTCCTCTGTGTAAAACTGTGGATGAAAGAATTTCCAGTAAATAAACCAAAATTCAACCTTACCCAGAAATCACAGCTTTCATGCTTAAAATATGGAGAGACATTGAGTAAAATAGAACACACATCTCTTCTCAGTAAGTAAGTGATTTAGCCTTTATGTCACTCTGAACAAATATTTTCTTTTGTTAATCTTCATGTATTTTAAAATTGGAAAATGGTTTTTGTGGCTGGAACACTTAGCAGAAGCACTAGCTGCTCTCCAGGTTTTCCAGGCGATCTCAGTGAAACGTGACATGGCAGCTTCCCCCTTGCTCAACAGGAACAAATTGCCTCCCGCAGGACCTGGCTTGTGGCTTGTAAATCTTTGTTGTGCTGTGAAGTTGGAAAAGCCTCACGAGCTTTTAACTCCCTCCTGTTGTTGTTTGCTGTGTGTTCCAGCTCTCTGAGACCACTGCCGAGTCCCACCTCATGGAGAAGGAGCTGGAGGAGCTGAAGCAGCACAGCCGGAGGAAGAAGTGAACAAGAGATGGCCAGGCTGGTTCTGGGCCTTGGCCCTCGGGATGCTGGGGCTGGCTTGGGCCTCCCAGCCGTGTCGGTACTGTGTGGAGGTACTTCATTTCACGGGACCACGAGTGCCAAGATGCCTCCAGCGCTGTGTGGTGCTGTGGGTACTGCTAATGGCTGGTTTGGCACCACAGCGCTGTTAATTAACACGATTTTCCTCAGAGCACTTTACCTTGCTGCGTTTCCTCACCGCAGCCCAGCATTGGTACCCTCTTCTCTAAGGCAGCCGGGCAGCAGGCGGTGGGACGATCCATCTCCATGAGGGCTGCTGCTCGCCTTCTCCGCTTACCGAATCGGGGAGACTGCCGCTCCCTCTGGGGAGCCCGCTTGTACAAGCCTTACCGTCTGCCTTGGGCGAGCAGGACGCTGCGGTTGCTCGTTCTCGAGAGTTTTGCATATTTTATATAAAACCTTGCAATTAAAGCCCGGTGCTGAGGGTGTTTGTGACGCGCGGCGCCGTGCCGGGGGGCCGCAGGGCGGGGCGGCGGTGCTCCTCCCGGCCGCCAGGGGCCGCTGCCTCGCCCGGGCTGGAGCGGGGGCGGCCGCGCTTCCGGCGGCGCTCCGCCCGCCGCTCCGCCCGTCCTGTCTGGTGGCGATGGCGGCCGCGGCGTCCCTGTCCCCGGAGGAGCTGCTGCCCAAGGGCGGCGCGGGCAAGGCTGAGGAGCTGGAGGACGAGCTCGAGGAGGAGGAGGAGGACGGCGAGGAGGTACCGGGGCAGGCGAAGGGGAAGGCCAGGCGGGCGCGGTGACCCCGCGGGGCGCGCAGGGCCGTGCGGCGGGGCCTGACGCGGTGGTGCCGCCCGCAGCTGGACGAGACGCTGGCGGAGCGGCTGTGGGGACTCACGGAGATGTTCCCCGAGAGCGTCCGGTCTGCGGCCGGGGCTACGTTCGACCTGTCGCTGACGGTAGCGCAGAAGATGTACAGGTGAGGGGGCGGCGGGCCGGGCCGGAGCCCCTCGCAGCGGGCCCGGCGGGCAGAGCGGGGGCGCGGGGCGGCTCCGCCGGCTTTCGCGGTGGCTTCGGCCGCTGGTAGCGCAGTGCGGGGCCTGCGGGAGCGGCAGAGCCACGGCTTTTGTTTATGGGCGGCTTGGGAAGGGAGGGGGTAAGGGGACACCGCGGAGCTCGGGGTTGAATTTGGAGGCAGGCTTATGATTGAGGCACGGAAGGGAAACGCGGGATTGTGCCAATAAGAACTGATTCCTAGGGTTCTTTATCCTTGATAGATTCTCTAGGGCAGCTCTGTGGATTGGGACCACCTCCTTTATGATTCTGGTTCTTCCTGTCGTCTTTGAAACCGAAAAACTGCAGATGGAGCAACAGCAGCAACTGCAGCAGCGACAGGTGAGGCAGGAGGGCCCAGCCGCCTCTCCCGGCCCTGCAGAGCCGGCTGGGAGTGCCTGCACCTCCCGCTGTGAGCAGCTGCTGGGGGAGCCTGGGCAGAAGGGTGATCTCTGTTGTACGCTGTGGCCTCACTTATCCCACCGATCCTCTGGCTGGATGTTCTAATTGGACAATCCTGCTGATTGCCAGTGTCAGGCTAGTGGCATTGCCTGGCAAGCACAACCTGGCTTTTACCGGCCAAAAAATATTGTGAGGGGCTGAAATAGGGGCTGTGGTCGAGCACTGACCTTGGCTGTTGTAGCAGGCATGGGACTGGTGCTGCAAAGTGCCACAAATACCTGTGGGACTGTGCACAGCATGGTAAGACATCTGGTGTCCTTGAAACCCCTCAATCAATTGTTTTCTTTCCAGATCCTCCTCGGACCCAACACAGGGCTCTCAGGGGGAATGCCAGGGGCCCTGCCTCCGCTGACTGGAAAAATCTAATTTGCAGAAGCTGAGTTGGATTCATATCAAGTGGGAAGACCTTGCAATTATGATATATTGAACTGTTGATTTGTTGGGCCAGGGCATTTTTTCTTTTTATTTTTGGTTCTCCTTTGGGACATTGACCTGTTCATAACGAGGGAGGGAAGCCCCCCTATGGACCTGATGATGGCTCCTGTCTGCATCCCCCTCTCATTTAGAAATCATGAGTATTTCCTTTTATTCAATCACTATGCCATAACCAGTTCCAGACTTGGACCGGGGGAGCTCCTCTGCCAGCTTCTTGCCCCCACAAAACACCCTGGGGCACAGGTCAGGCTTTGAAAAGCAGCAGGCAGACACAACAAATGCTTTCCTGCCTGATTTGGAGCTGAAGGACAGTGGTGGCAGGAAGCATGACTTTCCCAGCAGAGGAAGGAGGGGTGCCGGTGGCAATCAATACCCTATGGAAAATACTCTTTGGGAAGATGCATCTGCAGAAACACTTTCACTGCAGCTGTGTGTGTGCGAGAACCGAGGGAGCAGCAGGCCAGGTTTGAGACTATCACATCCACGCAGATTCTCTGCCTCATAAAGTAGAACAGACATCAGCTGCGTATTTTTTTGTATGGAATATTAAATAAATCAAACCTGAGCAGTGTGGTTTTAATAGATGTCCTTGAGGGAGGCTCAGTCCTTTCAGAGCTGCCAGGGGATTGCTGGGTAGGATCTCTCCATTTCATGCACAGCCTGGCAGTGTGGAAGGGACCGACATGGCCTTGTCACCTTCAGAGGGGTGGGGAAGCCTTGTATGGCGTAAGGGCATTCTCTGGGAGGTGATCCTATCTCAGCACCAGTGTCTACCGTTCAAGGTTCTTAATGCACAGAAACGTGGTGGTTTTATAACCAAAGAAAAAAAATTTATTTATCCTTTACATACTTTGTTACAGAACAATTCAATTGAACATACAGAAGTGATAGGACATTTATATGGAAACTTTTTTTTCCATTTTTAATATTTGGTTAAACAAAATACATCTCTGTAAACAAACCCAAGACAATGCTCTAATAAAACCAAACAAGCAAGAAAACAAAGAGGGGCTTCCCGCTCCCGAGCAGTGGGACTGGACCAGCTCACCCACCCCCGGCACAGCAGCCTCACCTCCCACAGGGGTGTGATCATACACTTTCCCTTTACCTGAGCAGCTGGATCACACTGTTTCTCCCCTGGGAAAGCAGCCCCAAAGTTTTAAAATATCTTTGCATATTGTGCACTGATCCATTGGCTTGCAGTTTCCATGCAAACAGGGTTTTTCTCCAAAGTGCAACTTCAGCATAGAAAATGTTGCTGTTGAGATTTATATTTTCCCCTCTTGAAGAAATGGCTTCAAGTCAGGAGCAGAATGCCTGCAGGCTGAACATCCTGCCTGGAAAGTGTTTAAAAACTCTGCCAGCTGGTATCGGTCATTGGAATGTGTTACGAAATAGGACTTTTTAAAATGTAAGAGCTATTTGCCCTTGACTGTGGGAGGCTGTGCTCAAAGGACTGCAAAAGTGCTTGCTAGATGTCCAGGGGTCAGCAAACACCATTGTCCTGTCGTCATGTGGCCTCTGTTCTGACGGGTGCCACTTTGGTGGTCTCTGAGGTTTGAGCACCTGCTCATGCATTTGCAGAGCTCTGAAGAGAGAAGAATAACTGAGAAAAAGTCATTACAATCCCTCCTTTCATCAGCTCAAACATCAGTAATGAGAGTTTCCTGCGCGATGGAACAGGACCCTTTGAGCTCCATCAGATCCCAGAGGTTGCTGTTAACCAAGTCATGTTAAAGATGGAAGCAACCAGCAGCTCAGCCAGGAGTGCTAAACACAACAAAGTCAGTTCCAGATTCAGCATTTCCTCCTCCTGCCATGGAAGGCATGGCTGAGCTACAGCTCTCCTGGGTGACTGGGAAACAGCCGGCAGAGATTCCTCTTAGTGTCTCCGTGTCTAGTCTCTCTTCCCCATGGAAGGCAGAAAAAAGCAAGTCACCCATTAATGGAATGTTTGTTGGCCAATGCTAAAGGAGAGGTTGGTTCAGCTACCAAGCTGGGGTGTCTCCAATGCCTGAAAGTTCTGGTGGACCCTCTGCAGCTCCCACACCAGCAGATAGTAGCAATAAAAGGGCAAAACTGACTACTATAATGGCTTCCCTTCCTCAGCCCATTTTTATTTTATAACTTGACCTCTTTCATTTCACATTACATCTGTGATTGTGGGCTGGACTTCTGGAGAGAGGAAAATAAAAGGGAGTTAATTTCTTTGAAAACCTTTTCAGCTTTATTCCTGTCTCCAAGGAACCCCTAAACTACTGGGTGACCATGCAGAAAACCAAAATAACTGATAAAAAATAGTGAAAAAAAACCCCACCATAGCACAAAGAAACCCAAGCAGACTGTGGCCTCTCTCCAGTCCAGAAACTTGATTCCCCTCAGTCATCCTGTGCTTGCTGTTTCCATGTCACCTTAGCCAGACACACACTGCCAAACAACAACTCACCACATACATAAATCCTTGGAGACCCTGGGGAAGAATCCTCTAGCTACCCAAAGAATTACTTGGACAACTCTGGTTTTATTGTTTCCTAATTCCTGGCACAAACCAGCCCTAAGAAACAGAGGGTCGTGCTGAGCACCGTACCATTCCTAGTGTTTTGAGTGTCCTGAGAGACCCTTAGGAATTGCAAATGTCTTCACAACAACTTGTTTTGGAGGCAGAGAACTGTAAAGAGGTGGCAGCATGCTCAGTCCCTGCTCCTTCCTGACAAGCCCCGCAGGGAACAGCGTCCCACCACACACAGCCTTGAACCACGTGGGGAAGTGAAGGCCCAGGGTTTTCAGGCACTCTTGCTCCCTAGCCCAGTTCTTCACGAGTGTGATGCCTTCCAGCTGGCCAAAGGGCACTGCAGCTCATCCATCTTGCTATTAAAGTGATTGGCTTCCAGTTTCCTCTGCTCTGCCTTCAGTTCTTCCCCAGCCACCACCCCCAATGTCCTGTGCCATTGCCCTATTGCACCAAGGAAGGAAGAGAATAGCCTAACAAAGAAAATTCCAGACGAAAAGAGTCAGGGCACCCATTTTCCAGGTTTTAGGACATCAGGAGTTTGGTAAAGGGGAAGAACTGTAGTAGGAGGACAGTTGGCCCTGGTCACACATCAGCTCTCCAGGTCTGATGTGCTTCCACTTCCTCTGGCACCACCAATAGGAGTTCACAGTTCTTTCCTCTCAGCTGGTGTTTCAAAAATTTCCTATCATAAAGAGAAATAGAAACAAGTGCTATTGAATGTAGAACTTCATCATCTACAACAACAATTAAATATTATCTTACCGCAGCAGAGATGACTCTATACAGATGCCGCTTTCTTACTTTCCAAGGTAAGAAAAACAAAATTAACCTCAATTTTAGTTTCTTAATATTTCCAAGACAAGAATCCCACCTTAACTTTAAATAATTCCAAAAAATCTGGGGGAAAAAATATTTTTATTGTAGAAAAGGACATCATATAGATGTCCTTAGCAGCAGTGTACTACTTGGTCATTTTACATGTTTTTTTTTAGCCCTTTCCTGCATGTAAGCTTCTTCTAA